TGAACGAAATCATGTGCGATACCTCAGAAAGTGCAGGTGCTCAAATACCACGTAGTCGTGACCTGCTAAAGGGCCCCTTAAGGAACTACAAACAAGAGGCAATGAAACATGCGATGAAATTTTATGTTAGAAAAGCGACTTGTGACTTAGCATATTCAGATGTACGAACAGCTCCTGATGACTTGAAAGATGTTATTTACTCAGCAGGAGGTCCTGATAGAATCGATTCTGCCTTTCGAAACTATCGTCACTGTAGTTGATAAACTGCAGTATTCTCATTACGTAACGACCACAGTCATGGTTAAAAATGCCATAATGATTTTCTTGTGGATTTGCACAGACAATAGCGTTCAATATTTCCGGTCGAAACCTGCTAGTTGGTTACGATTTTCTAATTCCGTTCATATAGTTCGTTCGAACGCGCGTTAGTTCTTGAAAATCTCTTTCTGCAGACTGTAGTTGATACGGTAAATTTCAATTTAATTAGATACTCATTCTCAGGGTTTGTACGACCGTGTTCCGTGATGGATCATAATGCGTCAGCAAGTATTGATGTGTGCATCGGTGTTTATTATCCATATTTCATAAGCCACCCAGAGACTTGTTAAAGTAGTCTTTTGAATGTAGGGATGTGTGCTTTGAGACCATAGGATTCACAGCTAATCTTGATCCTGGCTAATTCCTGATCTTAGCTTTTCCCGTTTCCGCTCTGACGTAGTTGTAAGATACAGCAGCGCTATCTTGTGACGCTTGTTTAAAGACCAAGTCTGAGTGTAAAGTAATTGTTGAGCGTTGACGGTGACACCGCTGTCGAGCGACCAATGAATATTCCTGTTTTTACCGTTTCTATGTTTTTGTTATTTGTAGTAAATGATTTGGCGGCGTGTCGTCGTAGGAACACGACAGCAAGTTCTTCCACTACCACCGCGTCAGTGGCAGCACTCAATCGACAAACGGCTGCGCGCATGTTGCCGAAGATCAACCGAGCTCTGTTGCACGCCAACTCACTTGTGGCCCGTCCGAAAGGCACAGAACACGGTAACGGAGAAGTGGTGACCATCCGCTGTGACGAAGGTG